ATCAGACCAGGAGTCCCCCCTCCCTCCCGCCCTATCCACACGGGCTTCATCTTTACTTGTAACCCTAAAAGAAATTGTATAATCATTTCCTTCTGGTCTAACGGTCCCATCCTAGACTTTTTGCTCTCCCCTCCCTTGGAGTCTGTGTAAGCCCCCTGCTTAATATCTGAGTATGAAAGCCCTAATTCTCCTCCTCTTCCAATGAAACAAAGTTGCACTGTCTAACCCAGAATGGTGGTCTCCCCAGTGCTGTGATGACAGGTGTACACTAGCATGCCTGACCCCATATTCATTTTATTTATTTATTTTATTTATTTATTTATTTTTTTGGTTTTTCGAGACAGGGTTTCTCTGTGATTTTGGAGCCTGTCCTGGAACTAGCTCTTGTAGACCAGGCTGGTCTCGAACTCACAGAGATCCGCCTGCCTCTGCCTCCCGAGTGCTGGGATTAAAGGCGTGCGCCGCCACCGCCCGGCTCCCATATTCATTTTATAGCTTTGTGGTCAACACTTGCTGTCCATGTTTGAGGCTCAGTTGTTGGTGGGAAAAGGAAAGTCTCTTCTGAACAACCCCCCCCCCATCTTGCTTCCTGCTCTCCCCCTTTTTCTCTTTCTGGCCACAGCAGCATTGTCTATGTTGGGTGCTCCAGAGGCCAGACAAGCACCTGCTAGGCCAAGGGAGTTGGATTTTAGTGTGGGGGGAGGGGGGTTCTTCCGTAGTTTTTCTCAGACTCCTCTGTACAGTCCCTCCTCCCAGTTTCACACTCGAGATGCTCACCTATGTAATTCAGGAATGGGTAACTCAGGCTGGAACCAGGGACCTGAGAAGGGAACAGGGAAGGTGGCCAGGAAGGCCGGGTCCTAAGAAGAGCTGGTCATGCAGTGGGAGGAATAAGAGTGCGTCACATGTCTCAGAACACATGTACACACACAGTCTCTCTACAACCGCTGGCCTCCATATCCCTTTAAGAGGAAAATATGTGCTTCTCTGTTCTAAAGTAGAAAGTCATGGTAAGATAATAGCTAGAATCAGTGCCCTTCTGAGTGCACCCAGCAGGGCCTCCTGATTCCTGCTGCCCCCTGGATCCCTCTAACACTGTGTGCATGTCATATGGTCTCGTATCTTGTCTTCTAGGTTTCTGTTTGGAGATAGGCCCTTTTGGTGGGTGCATGAGTCTGGGTACTCCAGCCAGACTCCAATCCAGGTTCACCAATTCCCATCTTCTTGTGAGACCGGCCCAGGTGAGAAAAGTTCCAACCTCCTCCCATTCCTGGCATGGTTAAGGTGTAGATAAATTTAGCCAGGCAGTGATGGCTAGTGCCTTTAATCCCAGCACTGGGAGGCAGAGGCAGGTGGATCTCTAGTTCAAGGTCAACCTAGCAGGATAGCTAGGGCGGGCTGTTCACAAAAGAAATCCTGTCTTGAAAAACCAAAAAGTTAAAAAAAAAAAAAATAAGGTTTGAATAAACATTTCCATATACCTCAGCTAGGATGGTCCAAACAGGCCTAGTCTCTCAGTTATTGGTCCAGAAAACAAATTCCGGGGAAGACCAGGTTGAGTGGCATGCCTCACGCTGGCTCTTCACCTCCTAGTAAAGCCAGGGCCGCAGCAAGTCAGCAGCCCAGAACAGTGACTTTGAAAGAAAGGTCTTGGGGAAGTGATAGGCTGGTACTGGGCAAGCGGTCTTCACGTCCAGGGGAGGCAGACGTGTTGAGGGATCACCAGGGGCACCTGGGTTGCACCTTTATTTTTTCACCGTGAACTTCTGGATCTCCCGGCAGGCAGCCCTTCTGGCCATTGCATGATCACGGGAGCAGCTCTCTGGCCCATAATGACAGCCATTTCTTCTCAGGTGGCCTCCCGGTCCCGCAGGTATGATCACGGTATTGCCCACCAGTAGGCGCATCCTCGACCTCAAAGGCTCCACAGCGTATTAGTTGGGAATTAGCTGAATTAGAGCTGTGGTGACCCGGGGGGGTCGGTTCAAACTCTGAAGTATTTGGATGTGGAAGGAAAGCAAATCATGCTCGTTCTCCAGCCCTTGAGCAGCCTGTCTCTCTTCTTCGTAGCCCCTGGGTAAGGGTGATTCCTGGCCTGGCTTACTGCACCTTCCTGTTGGCTGTCGGCCTCTCTCGGGTCTTCCTCTTAGCACATTTCCCTCACCAGGTGTTGGGCGGCCTGATAAGTGGTGAGCAACGGGCAGCAGGGTGGGCCAAGGGGGGATGTCTTTGGCGGTGGGAGAAGAAGTTTAGGAACTTCCCAGCTTCTGTAGAGCCAACCTCGAGGTCCCCGACTTTGTCTTAGTTTTCCTCCCAAAATGAACTGCAGGTGAGGGGGAAGATCCTTTCCTCCAACATCTGGAAACTGTTTTGCATCCCTTTAGGTGCTGTCCTTGGCTGGCTGATGACCCCCCGGGTGCCCATGGAACGGGAACTTAGCTTCTATGGGTTGACTGCTCTGACCCTCATGCTAGGGGCTAGCCTCATGTACTGGACTCTCTTTACACTGGGCCTGGATCTCTCCTGGTAAGTCCTGCTGGGCGCTGTATCTAGATATGTGGGTCTCTGGTTCACGGTGGCTATCAAGGACACACAAACTGTTCCTAGACAGATGTGGAGTGAATACATGAGAGTAGGGCCCCCAAGGGAGGATGGCTGTGAGCCAGTGGTCTCTGGATTCCAGGCTCTTCTGGCAAAGACTCTTCTTCCCCACAGGTCCATCAACCTGGCTTCCAAGTGGTGTGAGCGACCCGAGTGGGTGCATTTGGACAGCCGGCCCTTTGCCTCACTGAGCCGTGACTCGGGAGCTGCCCTGGGGATGGGTATTGCCCTACACTCTCCCTGTTATGCCCAGATACGGCGGGTCCACCTAGGAAATGGCCAGAAGATAGCCTGCTTTATGCTGGCCATTGGGCTGCTGGTCATTCTGGAATGGCTGGGCCACCCACCTCAGATCAGCCTCTTCTACATCTTCAACTTCCTCAAACATACCCTCTGGCCCTGCCTGGTCTTGGCCCTTGTGCCCTGGCTAGTGCACACATTCAGTGCCCAGGGATCGCCACCCATTCACTCCTCTTGATGTCATTTGCCTCCCTTGCCATTCTCTTGCCCCAAGGACAACACTCGTAGTTTCCCTGGGCTTGAAAGCAGGCCCAGCTCACATTGATGCATTTCTGTCTCGTGTTGTGCAGTTTTAGCCCCTTTTAAAGAAGGACCTCTGTTTCCCAATGAGGCTGTCTCCTGCCTTCCCGCAGGGTCCCCACAAAAAAAAAAAAAAAAAAAAGAAAGAAAGAAAGAAAGAGAAACCAGCAGGCTTGGTGGGGATGGGGAGCTGGGTTCCTGACACAGGTGGCAGCTCAGGAAGGTTCTAATAAAGCTCTTGAAACGTCTGGATTCCTTCCTAGCCCATGCTCATGTCTCCACTGACTTTGCCTGCATCTCTACCAATGGAGCCTCCACCCCATACAAAGACAAAAGTAAAAGGGGGTTGAAAACTCAGCTGAGACCTCCTCTCTCCTCCCTGCCAAGGCCACAGCAGAGCTCTCTCGAGATAGAGTGGCAACAGTGGATACCCCCCAGGAGAACAGAGATCTCCCACCCTACTCCCCTGCTTCTCAGATTCAATTCTAGTCCAAGGCTGAAGAAAAAAGACAGCACTTTGGTTAGGACAGGAATGAGAACTTTACTCTATTTGGGAACCCAGAGAACAGACATTATTCCCAGAAGGCACTGCCACAAACAAGTTTATTTACACAAGGAGACAGTGTGACAGGATACAAAATACTTAACGAGAATCCATTCATTCACGACAGAGCAGGAATGGGTTTACATGAGAGTAAGACCAGCCCACAGGGAAAGTGAGAGGCCCGGAGCCCTGGGCTCAGTGCAAGGAGGATTTAGACAGCACACAAACACACAGCAAACTAGTAACTCCCCAGCTCCCTCAACCCTGCTCAGGCCCCCATCAAGATAATATGTAAACATACTGCTGGGTCCTGGGGATGGAAGGAGATAGAGAGAATGCGGTATAGGGGAGGAAGAGTTGGCCCCCTAGGAGCCACTTCCCATCTTTGGTTTCCTACAAGCTAGACCACATTCACTGGAAGCCTGTGCGCTCCAGCCTCTGGACACAGGGTTACTGGAAAAGAAGATGGACAGCCCAAAACTCCCTCCTGCTGAGAGCCCTTCCCCACCCCCATACCCTGGGCTTCTGGACAGGGTTCTAGCCCTGTCTATCCTAGAACCACCTCTTTCACCATCCCCAGGCTTCAAAGCAAAAAGGCTCTGGAAGAGATCCGAGTCTTGATCGCTTGCACTTCCACTTCCGGGTGATGGCTGAGCAAATCTGGTCCAGAACATCAGAAGGGCTTGCGTGAACTTGAAGCCCCCACACAGAGTCCAGCTTTTCCCCTCTCTACGCAGGGAGGTCAACAGAATGAAGTGGAGAGCCTGCCTGTGTACACAGGTCCTCCTGGCTCCTCCTAACCCAGCCACAGCTCCCCCTGTACCTTCTGGGTTCCTGGGAGTAGGAAGCAAGAAATTTGGCAGCAAATCTAAGACCCACATCCTGGGCACACGTCTGCAGTGCTGAGGCCAGAGAAGAGAGGGGTCTGCAGAATGCTGAGGACAGAAAGGAAGGGGAGTATAGGGTGGAAGTCTACCCCACTCCACTCCGTGTCTTAACTAGTAGTGGATCCTCCTGAGGACAGAGAGGGGCAGAGGTGAAATTAAGGCGTTTCCCAAAAGCCAGCTGAAGCCAAGGAACCAACTTACTGTTCCCATCTCGGTAGCTCCAGAATTGGAGGTACTATCTGGGAGTACTGTCCAAGGTAGGAGAGAGTACAGAGAACTGGGGCGAGATGACAACAGGGGAGACGTGGACGCTGCACCCATCCCCCTACAGAAGGAAGGGATTGCTAAAGCTGGGGCCTGGGCCATGTGGCGGGAGGGCTGGAGCAGCTTGGGGGAGCAAGGCTGAGAGACCCACACAGCACACGTTGTTGAATGTGTGACTTTTTGTTTTTAATAGAAAAAATAAACAAAATCACAATGATGAAGCCCAGAGGAATGGGGGCCAGGGTGTCACAGGGTAGGCTCCTGCTCCATGGGCTCCTCTGCTGGCCTGCGGGGACAAGCACAGGGATGCCACTGAGTAGAGAGCACTCACTACCTTAGGCCGGGACAGGGGAATGCCAGGTGAGAAGCCTACCTGGGGCTATGCTCTTGAGTGGCAACGGCCTGGGCCTGCTCAGCCCCCACGGAAAGCAGGGCCATGGCGCTCACAGTCTCGGCCTCCTCCGTCTCACCTGTCTGAGCCTCCCGCAGAGAGCAACCCAGACCAGTGACGAACCTCTGTACACAGCTCCAGTGTTTGCCTGTGGAGAGGGACAGACAGGTTCAGGGAGAGCAGACAGGTCCATATGTACCTGCTAGCCCTGGTACCCCACTGCCCATATGCCTCGTCTGCCGAGCAGGTTGAAGTATGAACCCCTCTGCCTGTCCCCACGCACTCTGGATCTCGATGACTTTCTCTAGTGTGGCAACTGCATTGACGCTGGGTTTCTGCTGCAAGACTGCTTCATCCAAGGGCTGCAGCTGCAGAGAGAAGGAGAGCGGACTCAGAATGGGATAAAGAGCAATGCCTAGCTCTCCAGCTGACCCCATCCAGCCCAGACATTCCTGTGCTGGCAAGCACTGGCTTTTGGGAGGAAGCCCTGATCAGAAAGTCTTCCTTGGCCAAATATTCTCATTTTTTTTTAAAAAAATATTTATTTATTATGTATACAATATTTGTCTGTGTGTATGTCTGCAGGCCAGAAGAGGGCACCAGACCTCATTACAGATGGTTGTGAGCCACCATGTGGTTGCCGGGAATTGAACTCAGGAACTTTGGAAGAGCAGGCAATGCTCTTAACCACTGAGCCATCTCTCCAGCCCCCAAATATTCTCAGACCTAGGCAAACCTCAAGGAGCCTTTGAGGCCACTGGACCCAGCGAAGTGGATATCGCTGCTGACCCATCAGCCCCACCTGCTGTCCACCTCTCTGTCCCCCGTTCACCTCCACGCTGAGCAGAGCCGAGACACAGGCCTCAGAGGCATCACAGATGGCGGTCAAGTCGTGGCCTCCCTCCAGGGCCAGCACCACCCGGCCCCCTGCCAGTGTCATGAGCTGCCTGGTCAAGTGGCCAAAACCTTTGCATGGGAGTAAAGAGAAAAAGCTGAATGGTAAATTGTATCAAAGAGACAGAAGGAGAAAAAAAAAAACAAGAAATGAAACATATCGTACAAAATATGACAGCAGACTTAAGCCCCAATACAGCTACAATGAAGTAAAGTGTCAGTGAACTTAGTGGAGGACAGGCTAAGATGAGATGCATTTCCGGTAGGTAGGTCAAGGCCAGCGAGCTCCAGTGGAAGATACTTGTTTGCTACTCCACCTCTACCTGCCAGTCCCCATGGCAGGATTGGCAGAAGGGTGGGCAGAGCTAGCAAGTCTTAGACTTGCTCCCTGCAGTGCCAACTTATTCCCTGTCCCCTGTGCCTCGGTGTTCCACACCCTCCCAGACCCCTAGTAGGCTCACATCTGGCGGTGACAGAATAGCCACCCAGTGGAGACAGATGTCCTTCAACAGCATCAAACCCAGCGGAGACTAGGACGACGTCAGGTGAGAACTCGTGGGCAATGGGCATCACCACTGTCCTGTAAAGGGATGGCCCAAGCTAATGCCAACAGAGGCCAGGCTGAGCCTTGCCACGCTCTGTTCTCCATTGAGGCCATACCCCTCCACCACCCCAACTGAGTGCCTGCTACCCCTGCCAGCTCCGGGTCCCACCCCTCCTCTGGCCCTTCTCAGTCCCCACCTGAAGGCTGTCAGGTATTCCACATCTCCAATGGGGGGATCCACACCTCCTGTCCATGCCACATTAACATTGTACCCCACGCCTGGCCCTCCACCAACCTGGCATAAGGTAAGAGAGGTTACTGTCACCGCCCTGGATCCCAACCACTGCCCCGTCCCTTGCCTCCAACGTCTCACTCCATTGACCTGTTTTACCCAGCTGGCAATCAGACCTGTGTGGTCCTCCCCCTGGGAGCCCTCAAATGCCACATGGACCAGCATCATGAATGGGCCTCTGTGGCTTCCTGCCAAGTCCCATCCTGCCAGGTCCCAGTGTGCTACCTCTGGGAAGGGCTGACATGAAGGCCCAGGAGTTGTACCTCTTCAGGAGCCCCAGAGCCCGGGAAGAAGTTCCCATTGTCATAGCGATGCAGCGAGATGTAGAGCACAGAGGGGTCATCGTAGAATGCTTGCTGGGTGCCGTTGCCATGGTGAATGTCCTGATGAGGATAAGTGGAGGGTGCTTTGGGTACCAGTCTAAGCTCTAATCCAAAGGCTAACATGCCACCTGTTCCCCGCCCACCCTACCATTAGCTCTGCAGATGAGCCCACCAATGGCTCCGGGGCCGTGACACTGAATCCAGGCTCTACAGCCATGGATGGATATGGTTTGTCTCCCTGCAGAACCCATTTCACTGAAGTGCAAGGGAAACCCAGGCAAGTAAGAAATTTAACACAGGCAAATAAATTCTGAAGAGGGATCCAACATTTACATGAATTTGTTTTATTTTGAGACAGGGTTTCGCTAGGTAGTCCAGGCTGGCCTTGAACGCTCAATCCTGAGTGCTGGGATTATAGTTGTGCACCACGCTGCATACATATTTTTTTAAATATTTATTTATTTAGTATACAATATTCTGTCTGTGTGAATGCCCACAGGCCAGAAGAGGGCACCAGACCCCATTACAGATGGTTGTGAGCCACCATGTGGTTGCTGGGAATTGAACTCAGGACCTTTGGAAGAGCAGGCAGGCAATGCTCTTAACCTCTGAGCCATCTCTCCAGCGCCCTTGCATACATATTTTTAAACCAAAACTGGATTTCAAAAATTCTGCTCTTGCTGGTCAATGACCAGTGAGTCCTCAGGCACAGTGAGTGGTGTGTTCACTTTCCCTACCATGACAGAAGGCTGAGGAACACCCACAGCCTCAGGAGCAGAGGTGGGGCATCTTTGCTAAGTAACCCAAACAGTGTCCTCACTTAGAGAAGTAGAGGAATACTTTGCACTGCTAGAGGCGGCTGTGAGTAGCACAGTGTCATGTTCCTGGCACACAGCAGCCCCAATGGTAAGGGCAAGGAGAAAAAGATTCTGGTAGTAGTGGTCACACCCGGTCCCTATCGCTCAGGGGAGGAAATCATCTGGATGTTGTAGGCTGCTAGGGAAAAGATATGGTGAATGAGGCTAAAAACACACTGGGGTGTCCCAGGGAGGAACCATCCCACTGAATGAAAGGACCCGTCTGATGAGCTGGGTGGTGGTGGCACTCAGGAGGCAGAGGCAGGCGGATCTTAGTGAGTTTAAGGCCAACCTGGTCTACAGAGCTAATTCCAGGACAGCTAGAACTATTACACAGAGAAACCTTGCCTCCAAAACCAAAACCAAAACAAAACAAAACAAAAAAGGACCTGTCTGATGATGAAACAGGAAGGATATAAACTGAACATGTGAAGCCAAGGAGTGAGTCCTAGTGCCACCCAGAGGTGGAGGCACTTCTGAAGGCCTTCCCTGGCAGCTCTACCCATCCCTGCCCAGCATCCCAGCCCACTGCCTACCCAGTCCACGATGAGCACCTTGCCCACATTCAGCTTCTGCTGCAGGAGTTTAGCTGTGATGGCTACGGAGTTGAAGAAGCAGAATCCCCTGTGTGGGGAGGAGGAGAGGGCAGGGAGGTCAGCTTGAGTGACATGAGGTTTGCTTCAAGTAAAAGATAGGAAGAGCTGATGGCAGAGGGCCAGGGTCAGGTCAGAGTGGTACTCACATGGCTGTGGACTCCTCAGCATGATGTCCTGGGGGCCGGATGATGGCAAATCCATTCTGAAGTACAAGCAGAAGGATAACTGTCAGGAAAGCCATGTCAGCGACAGGGTAGATACAGGAGAGAAGCACAAGCCAAGTAGGAATGGGAACACAGAAATGCACTTTTATGAATGCCAACTGCAGGACCCCCAGCAAACAGCTGTCTCTCCCCTGCAGATACACACAAGAGCCTCAGGCTTCAGTGCCTACTTGGTCCCCCATGACCCTCAAACTATGGCTGTCCCCATCCTAGCACTCAAGACTTCAATGTGGCAAAGGACAATGGTCTTGGTGAGCGGAAGTCACTGCTGCCCCTGCACACCTGCTCCTAAAGACACAGGAAGCAGCCAGGAGCGCAGAGGCCACAGTATAACCTTACCTTGAGCTCTCCTGCAGCCACCTTGAAGGCTAGCTCTACCAGGCAGCCCACTGCCATTCGCACAGCACTGGAGGAGTGCATCTCATTCCACACAGTGTCGCTGTCCACCTGCAGGGGCAGGAGATCGGGCTTCAGTGTGCCCTCTGCAGGGGGAGGGGAGGAATGGGAGTGGGCACCAGAGAGCAGGCGAGCAGCCACGGGGGCAGGGAGGAAGGGGCCAAGCTAGGAGAGCCACTTGCCCACTCCCACATACCCAACTCACCCCAATGCCCCCACAAGGCAGCATGGCATACATCTTCTGGCTGATGGGGCCTGCAGAGAAGAGGGACAGAGATGCTCTGATAGGTGTCCCACTTGCCAGTTGGCATGGGCCATGTAGTCCATGCCAGCTGAGACCTCTATCTTCTGCTATGGTAGGGACATGGCAGGTTGGGAAGAAACACAGACCACCATCAAGTCCACCTTTAAGCCTGATACCCTACAGTATGTTCAATCTGCGTCTAGGCTGATGGCACCCTCTTGGGGATGTGACCCACTAGGACTGCTGGCTACTCTGCCTCGGTGGTCTTTATGACAGCCCCTTCACACTCAGGACACACGTGGGACCATGCCCTGCAACTCACCAAGCAGTTTCTTGCTGTCCAGCTTCTGCCGGTTGAGGGGGCTGGTCCCATAGAGCAGGGTGTGGTACTCAGAATGTACTGTCTGGATTTCATCTAGCGTGGCTTTACGACCCCGGATCCGCTGCCAGAGGTCAAGAGAGGCCAGAGAGCGTTGACAAGGCTCAACTCTCTTGACAACTACAGCCCAATGCTCACAGAGCCAACCTCCAGAACTAAAGGATTTGGAGTAACTACGCCTTGGCCCTTGAGAGACCCCACTCCAGGACTCTTTCCCAGATTAGCTGGGGACCATGAGGGAAGCAGATCACAAGGGATGGAACTGGGGAGGTCTTAGAGCTGACTGGAGGGCTAGGGTGTGGGTGAGGCTTTGTTAGGAGGGGAGTGAAGGCATCACTCAGATGGAAGTCCCAGCTGAAGGCAGGGGGCTCCCTCACCTCACACTTGCTGAGCAGGCCAGTTTCCTGCAGCCGGGACCAGATGCTCTGGATGCGGCCGGCGTGCTCCGGGTGTACATGTGTGTTTCCGCACGTGCACTGATGCTTCAGCATGAACGTGTCATAGACCACACCTGGGCCACAGACCCTTGTGTCAGCCAGAACTGTTCTGAACCCTGCTGCACCCCGGTCCTAATGACTATCTATGGCTACCCTAGCTATCCGCCAACATTCACATACAACCCTCTCTCCTCTCTTTAAACCCAGCCTGGCTGAAGCTGGTCCCACTCTCTGTCCTCTGCAACCCCCTTACCACCCCCATGGTACAGTCCTTCTCCCCATCACATCTGCCCATGCACTGGCCCCATTGGTGAGGAACCAAGCATGTGGCAGCCTCATGGGTAAAAGCCTTCTGGGTCTACTGGGGCCTCACTGTCAATCCCACAGGGAGGAAGGAGGCCAGGAGGCACAGAGAAGATACTGCCCCCCAGAGAGTAGGAGCGAGGCTGCCTCTCCTCCTTGGAGAGAAGCTGCTGCTGCTCCCACGAACAGCTGTGGGGCACAGGAAGAGATGAAGACCCGTTTCCCCTCCATGCAGTGTGTATGCAGGACACCACATGCTACATATCCAAGCCCCTGGTGCATGGTGGATGGATGGAATGGACAGTGGTAGGGCTTACCTGTGGTGAAGAGGTGCTTAGTGGGCTGGTCTGGGGGGCTCTTCATGCTCCCAGGAGCAGCAGGTGAGGACTGGGTGCGGCCCAGGGCCTGATGAGGCACAGTGGCCAGGCTGAGGGGTGCCTGGTACACCTGCAGGGGCTGTAGCTGCTGGGCATCTGTGAACAACTGCAAAGGAATAAGACAGCTGGGTAAGGCTCAGTCTGAATGGCACTGAGTACAGGGTCCTTTCAGCCTCCAGAGGGCCCCCAAGTCTCTTCCTTCCCCCACCTCCTCCCACTTGCTCCCTCCAGGGACAGGAGACACTCCAGCCTTGCCATCTCCCGGCAAGATGGGGAAGATGGGGCATGTGATGAGTCACTCCAGTTAGTAGCATTGAGGTAAGAGGCTGAGAAGGACGGGGGTGGGTGGGTGGGTGGGAGCAGGATGAGTCAGGCCTAAGGGCTTGGGGCTGTGTCCGCAATGAATGGAGCGCACTAGGCTCAAGGCACACTGTAGTAACAGTGGGGGCGTGTGTGTACACACGCACGCATGCACGCAGAGACCAACGCACAACCAGTCGACGCAGGCACAAAAGCAGATACACACAGGCCCTGTGCACGCAGAAGCGCACTCGCACAGTTAAGAGACAAGGGCAGTCACAAAGGGAGAAGAATGCCAGGCAGGAACACCTCAGGGACCATACAGGATCCCCCTCCTACTCCCCCCAGTCTCTCCTCCCCTTCTTGTTCTTTAGAAAGCTGCTCAAGAACTGGCAACCACACCACTGGGGACTGACAATCAAGAGAGCAAATCAGGGGATGGGGAAGGACAGTCAGTGGAGACCAATGTGTGGGAGGTACCTTTTTGTAACCAGCATTGGACTCCTCTAAGTCGGGTCCCTCATCAGGACCACTCTCGTCTTCCTCATCCTTGACCTGAATGCAGTCTTCATCTTCCTCCTCTTCATCCTCCTCCTCTTCTAGGTCTTCCTGGGTGCTCTCGCTCTCTGTGGAGCCTTCCCGGGGCATGGTCAGGGCCCCCTCCCCCAGCAAGGCCTCTTGCTGCTCTGTCAGCTCCTCCTCTGTCTCCTCGGGGTGGGTGGTGGGCTGCCTTGGCAGCTCCCCTGTCTTCGTAAGGATCTGGGAGAAGAAAGCGCATTGTCTGGGGATGGGAACCTTTAGCCTTTCTCTCCCTGTCCCAGCCAGGCACCTGTCCACGGGACTCAATGGGAATTGGAAACCGTGAAGGTGGCTCCTCCAAGCACTCAGCTCCCCAGGTTCAGCCCCCCCTCTCCCCCCCCCCCCCCCCCCCTGCCCCGTGTGTCTCGCCAGCCTGGGTCACTTCCGGGTAGCCCAGGACATTGCCTGTCTACATGTACCTTGCCCAGCTGCATCTGCTGCTGCTTCTGCTTCTCTAGGAACTGCTGGTGCTGCTGCTGCATAACCAGCTGCTGCAGGGCCTGGGGACTTTGCGGCAGTGGAGAGGACTGAGTGCGGCTCAGAGGTCGGTGCCTCGGGATCTTGCCCACTGTCCTCATGCTGCTGGCCACGCGCTCGCCCGTCACCAATGGGGACTGCCCATGGAGTGGCACTATGGAGGTGGAGAAGGTAAGTAAGCACTATTTGGAGGAGTGGGGGGCCCTGTCCCAGAGGCTGAGCCCCATTCTCTCTCCTCCCTATACCTTAACAGTGAGTTCTGAGCCACGGGCACAGCAAGCCCTCCTAGGGTCACTTTTCTGTCCCTCTGATTTGTCTGAGTGTGCACAAGTAGTCCTGGGCCCACCACACGCAGGTACAATGACCAGTTCTCTCCATCTGCGACAAGATCCCCCTGCCGGTAGACCTTGTAGATGCTGCCAGGCTGAGAAGTTCTGGGCCAAGGCCATGTGTCTTTCTAGCAGAGCCCCTAAGAATGTTGGCAAGTACTAAGGGCCAAGTGTCTAATGCTGTCCAATGTCACTGCTATGGGCAATAAGTAAGCCCTTGAAACACAGCCTAAATTGACATGCGCTACCAGAATGAAACATATATGGGATTCCAAGGCTTACATGAAACAAAAGCTCAAATGATAATAATATTCTAGATAGAAGTTAAATATATAAGCCAGGCACTTGGGAGGCAGAAGTCTCTAAGACTTCAAGTACAGCCTGATCTACAGAATGAGTTCCAGGAGAACCAAGGCTACACAGAGGAACCCTGTCTCAGGAAAAAAAAAAAAAAGAAATATGTATTATTAGATTAATTCCACCCATTTCTTTTTTCTTTTTCTTTTTTTCTTTTTTTTGGTTTTTTCGAGACAGGGTTTCTCTGTGGTTTTGGTTCCTGTCCTGGAACTAGCTCTTGTAGACCAGGCTGGTCTCGAACTCACAGAGATCCACCTACCTCTGCCTCCCGAGTGCTGGGATTAAAGGCGTGCGCCACCACAGCCCGGCCCCACCCATTTCTTTAAGAAAAAAATATGTTAGGCTTGGAGGCACCCATCTTTAATCACAGCAAAGTACATTAGATCATTGAGTTAGAGGTTAGCCTGGTCTACACAGCGAGTTAGAGGTTAGCCTGGTCTACACAGCAAGTTAGAGGTTAGCCTGGTCTACACAGCGAGTTAGAGGTTAGCCTGGTCTACACAGTGAGTTTGAAGCCAGCCAGAGCTACATAGTAAGACGATGTCTCCAAAAAAATAAATAAAAAGTAAAACAGTGTTTGCGTGCTGTTTCTGTGTGCACATGTTCATGTGTGTGTGTGCAGCATGTAGAAGCCAGAGGACAGTCTAGGGTGTCAGTCCCTGCCTAACACAGCATTCTTACTATTTACTGCTATGTACACCAGGCCAGCTGGCCTGCGAGTTCCCAGGAATTCCCCTGTCTCCGCCTCCATCTCACGTGGGAGTGCTCGAAATACAACCTTGTACTAACTACCGTGTCTGGCTGTGCATGCAAACTGGGGATCTGAACTCAAGTCCTCACACCGGCATGGCTATCCCTTGACCCAGTGAGCCACCTTCTCAGTCCTCTTTAAAGTGTTAAATGTGGGGAAAGTTTTAAATCAAGTGTATGGTTAGTAGCTTTGTATGATATGTCATGTCTGTAATCCTAGGACTCTCGATGCAGAGGAAAGAGGACTGTCAGAAGTTTGAGGTCAACCTGAGCTACATAGTGACACAGTGAACCCACCAAACTGAATAAACTCAGTGTGGTCTGCGTTATTCCTGCTGGCCAGCTCTGCTATGGAATATGAACTTGGTAACAGTGGCAGGTTCAGTCAAGTGCCTGGCATACCAAACACTGGTACGTGATGTTTTCAGAGCATGGGAGAAATCAATGATGTTGCTAATGATTGTGGCAAGGCTAAAGAGTACCCCTGGTTACTTTTTGTCTACAAGATAGGTCTGACTTGAGCTACCGTGAGAGTCAAACACCCCTTCTCAGGCACACAGTTATCTACTCACCAGCTATAAGCGTGCTCTGCTGCCGGGCCTGTTCCAGCAGCAGAACGTGCTGCAGCAGGGAAGCATGCCCGTGAGGGCTTGTGTCGCCCTCCAATGTCACGCCCAGCAGGCAGCCAGGGATGGACGATGTGCTCATGAACTTGCCAGTCAGCGTGCCACCCTGCCGCAGGGACTGAAGGGCCTGCCTCTCAGCCTCCTGCTGTGTCGACAGCTTCGGGGAGGCCTGGTGAAGTTGGAGGGTGATGGTAGATAAGGCACAGACTGATACTGCCCCTGTCTTGCCAACTCAGACCAGCATCCCTCTTGTACCCTCTGCCCACCCACCAGATCAGGTCATGCCAGCTCAGCTCTCATAGGGCCTTGGGGAAGGATATGTGCCCTGTACTTACGGTGAGGTGTGAGTTGGTGACGGTGACTGTGGCCTGCAGCCCTAGGGAGATGTTGGGCAGAGAAGGAGACGTGTAGAGGCTGAACTGGTTTGGGGAGCTGTCCAGAGGGAGGGCCCGGTGCTGGGGGAGCATCTGGGGAGCAGTCAGGAGAGACAGACATGAAAGCAGGCAAAGGAGAGACAGCCAAGAGGGGCGACCTGGACAAAGGCCAAGGGCTCTGAATGGTCTCTCACTCCCCCAACCCTGAGCCCCAAGTGGAGGTAACAGAGAGATCAGATTCCTTCAGGGGCCTGCGGGACAAATCTCTTTTCAAGGCAACATATCCAGGCAAGACCCTCCAAATGTACATAGAGGCATCTAGGCTGAACACTCAGCTAGGCCAGAAGGAGCAAACTCCTCCTTCCAAAAGAAAGAGCACCTCTGTGCCCCCTACCCCATCCCAGCTTCAGTCAGTCCTGTACCTCAGTGGGGATGTTGGGGACTGAGCCAGTAAAGCCGTTCTCAGCGATGGTGCTGTGGGAACTGTTGGGAGAGCTGGGGCCAGAGCCGGGCGCACTGTTACACACGGACGACACTACAGGAGAAGTGGCTGTCACCTGGGCCTGCTCTGAGCCACCCCTCCTCCCAGACCTTCACAATTAGGACAGGAGAGGAGGCCTTACCCCCAGGCCCCGAGCCTGTGATTTCAACTGCTCTCTTCTTAAAGGTACTAATAACAGTGCCGTCCTTCCGACGCAGGAGGGGACTGCTTCTCCTCTCCGCCACCTTCTGTTTTAGCCTCGAACGGACTTTTAAGTTGGGTTCGGAGGCTGGAGAGAAAGCGGCTGGACTCAGATCGATCTACACACCAACCTGAAGCCCAGCCCACCCGTGGAGGGGGGAGGGGGACAACTCAAAGCGACAGCACTGCCCTTGGCATAAGCCCACCTCCACCCCAGAAGCCATATTCCTGGAAGCCAGGACTCACCCACCTGTTTTGCGGAGGGGGAAGTCATCACGGCTGTCATAGGGCCCAAGCAAAGGCAGTTTGTAGGAGGGAGGCGTCCCAGGAGGGCCGCTCTGGGGAGGGGAACTCTGGTCCAAAGAAGCATGGTGGGCTCCCCTGGGGGTGGGGTGGAAGCAGGATCTGGGTTACCACCTGCTCACTTGACCTGCCACCGAAGGCAAGTTGTTTGATTTGCAAGATTTTGTTTTGTTTGTTTTTATATATGTTTTGAAAGAGGGTCTCATACAGCCCAGGCTGGTCTCAGACTTGCTATGTAGTTGAAGACAAATTTGAACCCCTAGTCTTTCTTCCTCCACATCCTGAGTGCTACATCTATAGGCATATGGTACCACACACAGCGTAGGAAAGGAGAGTTATGGAAAGGCCACATGGGGGATGGTTACTTCCACCCCTCTCCCTCATGGAACTAGGGGTCTACATAATTACAGAGGGAAAAAAACATGAATCCTGGGAAAGGGAGGAGAGAAATAGGATGGAGAGCTCCCTACTAGGACAGACTGCAAAACTCGAGAACGGTTGCAAAACAGGGAGCCCCAAGCCAACCTATAACCAGGCAGCCCCTGAGCAGGGCCCCTCTGCCAACCCTTGCCCCCCAGAGCCATTACCAGCATTTGGGGTGCTGTGGGAGGGAATGGTTGAGGCTGCCTGGCGTGGGCTCCTTTGACTTCGACAAGAGGAATTCCTGGAGCCTCAGCTTGACCTCGGTGCTGGCGATGGCACCTATGGGACAGGGCACAGCTGAGCTGGGTGCCTGGAGCTGGGGCCACGGCGTGGTAAGGCCCAGGAACTGCCCACTGGTCTTACTCTCTTTGCTCTTCTCCTTGTTGCGTAGGATAAGCAGCTGCTGCTCCAGCCGCTGTTTCTCCAGCTCCTCTTGCCGCTGCTGCTCCCGCTGCCGCTGCTGCTCCAGCTCTTGCTGCCTCTTAGCTGCCAGCATCTCCTGCTGCTGCTGCGGGGGGTGCAGAAGGGCAGAGGCGGTGGTGAGCCAGGCCCAGGCAGGGCTGCCACTCTGGTGGGCCCCGAGCCCCCCTTGCTCACCTTGAGATGCTTTTGCAGCTGGACTTCATGCTGCCTCGTCAGGTGGTCGTGCTGCTTCTGAAACTCGGCGAACAAGAGCTGCTTCTGAAGCTGCTGCTGCTGCTTGAGCACCAGGAGCTCCTGCTGCAGTTGCTGCTCCCGTAGCGCAGGGTCCATGGGGCCTGCCAGAGTCCCCCGAAGCTCCACAGGGCTAGGGCTACCTCCACCTCCACCCCCCATGGAGCTGGGCATGGCTCCTGGCAGCACCGGCTTCACCTCCACTGTGGGCACAAGACACACAGGTGGTGAGTGAGTCCAGCCCCAGACTGCCCTTGGCCCTGACAGCCTGGCCCACGGCCCAAGAGACTACCAGACAGGTCCACTAGACCTTAATGACATAAATCTCTCCTCCCATGGATGCTGCCGTCCACTTTCTTTAAATGAGGCTGAAGTCATGAACTTCGATAAGAAACTATGTATGCAACAGGGCTGCAGAAAGGGGCGGCATGGCATGCATAAGGCCGTGGGTTCGAGGAAAAAACTGTATCTATGCATGAGTGTGAAGAGGAGCAGCCAGAAAGAGTCAGAACTCAACACCTGATATGGTCACTGACAGCTAATACTACACATCTTCTATGCACAGCTCATTTACACTGCAGTGATATATGAGTTCAATTCTGTTATTAGTATCCCTTTCACAGATAAGGAAACTGAGGCAGAGAGAGAGAGTGCTGAGTAACTTGACCAAACATAGTCAGGTGACTGAGGAACCAGGCTATGAATGTAAATCTTACGCTTTCACTCGCTGTCCCTCGCCTTCACCCCACCTAAGCCTGTACATGAAGAGAAACCGAGGCAGGGATAGGGCCTGTGAAGACCTTCCAGGTAGCTTGTTCTCTGTAAGTCTCTCAGTCTAATCCCAGCTGGGGCAGATGAGGCAGATGAGGGGGAGCAAGCATGGTGTGGGGTGGGGCAGGGTGGGAACAGGAGGCCTTAGGGAAAAGGGGGTGCAGGATAGCACCAGGCCAGGGACAGGAGAGGGCTGGGAGTCAGCCTGGCTTCCTCTGCTGGATTATCTCCTTTCAACACTTTTATTGTAATTACCGCTATATATAGCGGGAGCCAAACAGCAGCTGTGTTGGGGGGAGGGGGATGAGAGAATGGGAGAGCAGGGAGGAGGTGGGAGGAGGAGACAGGAAAGGAAAGGGAATCAGACAGGAAGAGTGATGGCAGGGGGAGGGCTGGAGCTGTGGCAAGGACCTCAGTCTCCAGCCAGGGGAGGAACCCTTGGGAAGGGCATAGAGGGAGAGGGATCCACCGGGTGGTTCTAAGGTCCGCATGGACAATGGGCCACTGGACGGGAAAAGTTCCAACCGGCTTATGGGAAGGTTGGGTCTTGACCTCTTGATCCCTGTACACTGTCCTCTGGTCACTGAATGTCATTCCGCATCATTGCCCAATGGTTGCCAGGGCGACCGGGCAAACACCACACCAGTAGGGAGCCCCAAACCCAACCCACACCCCACAAAGCCGCTTGCAGCTAACCGGAAGGGGAAGGCAGGATACCGCTGCCTGGGAAGAAGGAAGCGAGAAAGGCGACACCAGATCATCTCCTTTGCTCTCCACTTCTCCAAAGAAAAATCCTATGTTCCTCACACCAGCCCAGGGAGGCACATGGGGCCAGGAAGACACTTGCCCAGCCAAGGGGCCCACTGTATCCCAGGCAGAGAGGACACAACCCTGATATCCTGATGGTTGCCAGTGTTCAGGATTCTTCCCAACCCCAACCCCCTACACCTGACCCTACATCAAGAGTGACGGGGATGTAGTGGTAGGGACTAAAAAGAGCCCCCCACACACACACATGTCCTCAGGAAACACAGCACTGGAGGGCATCACCAGGCCTGGAGCAAGCCATATATGATCCTTAAGCTTATTTCGCCTGGGAGACCCACTAGAGGTGGGAGGTGGGGGTGGGAGGGAGAGCCTCAGCAGATGTCTCTCAGTACCCTGTCTTCCCCCAACATAAGCTGAGCACATTCCTCTGTGGTTTCTCTGTCAGCCACACTGACGACTCTGTGGCCACCAGGCCAGAGCCACATCTGCAGGAGTGGCCAGATGAGGCCATAAAGGGTGGAGTCACACACACAGACAAACACAACCCCCCACCCCTCGTGGCACGCTCTCTCACTTTCCCTCCTATTCCATGCCCTGGACCAGCACCCTGATGAAAGATGCCCGAAAACTCCCAGGGCCTTTCTGGAGAGGACCATCTCTACATCAGGGTGAAAAAGCAGGGTAGCAGCAAGGGAGCTGGTGGCCAGCTTCTAGTCTACCCAGCCCCCTCCACCCCCAAGCATTCAGCAAAGCCCTAAACTGGCTGGAGGGTTATCAGTTCCAAGCCTGACACTGATCATCCCACCAAGATGTAGACTGGCTTCAACCAGTCCCTTTGCCATACTATGGCTATTGGAGGTAGATGCCAGCCCATCGGCCCAGAGAGGGTAAGAGTCTAAAGATCCTGCCTCAAGTCAGGTTGGAACAGTGGTGGGGAGGGGTATCTTCTCTTACAGAAAGCTTAGGGGTTCACATGAGTGGGGGGATCCTCCTGCTGCTAGCACTGCTGAGATGCCTGGCTGTGTGCTGCAGTGGGCACCAGGGCCCCGCTGGTCTGCAGGTGAGGTGACAGGATAGCCAGAGGACTTTCCTACATTGGTGGTATGCAAGGAGGAATCAGAAGAACACCTATCTGTAGCATGCAACAAACCAGGCTCTGCCAGGCAGCAACCCGGCTCCTTTCAGGATGGAAGCCAGGGAAGCAAGAGAATGGGGTCCCCAAAATATAGTCTGCCTGGCACAGAACCTTGAGCTTGGCTGACCAGGCATCTCCTTAAGGATCTGTGCCCTCTGCCAGCTTGGCAAGAACAGAGCAGGTGACAGCAGCTGCCATTCAAGTCAAGCACTTGGAACGGGAAGTGGGTGTGTCAGGACAGGAAGAGGCTCTTGGTTGCCTCCTGGTGGACCTAGGAAGGTTGGAGAACTTTGGGAAGGAGGAAAGGGTGGGCAGAGAGGTGTGTTCAGATGACAGTGTGAGTGTGAGAGCTCAGGCTAGCAGAGCCCCCTGATAGGCCAAGATCACAGGGGACAGAAAACCCTGGGTCCTTATTTCACCTACCCCACCCCCACCCCAGGCCTCATGCTGTCCTGCAGAGAGCAGAACAGTGTCAATGCCAGGAGCTTCCTGTGGAGAGAGGTGCCAGGACTCCAGGGACAGGCACTGGCCACCTACACTAAGGACTCAAACCCTTGCTTCCTGCAGGGAATGGCGGCCTTAGGATCAGTGCCATCCGTGTCCAGCCGTCAGTGTGGCCCTGCTCATATTAAGCTCAGGCTCAGAAGGCAGAGACCTGCCTAACTCATGGGTATAATTGGGCAGAGCTGACACCTACTGGTATTCCCTTCTCATCCAGTCGGACTCTTCTGCCACTAGCAGAATGAATCCCACTAGCCCAGGAGGTTCTATACCATACGAGATGCCCAGGCCCCTCAGAAGGCGGGACTAATGGGGCAACTCTGTGCCCACTGCCAGCCTGGCCTCGGGGGTGAACCGGAGGCTGCGCACTGTAATCCTAGATGTGCAGGAGGCTGAGGCCAAGGGACTGTGAGGCAAAAGCCTGACTGAGTAGCTCAGTGAGATCCTGCCTCAAAAACAAAATAGTAACCACAGCCAGCCATGGGGGCTCGTGCCAGCATTCAGAAAGCCAAGGCAGGAGGACTGCAGAGAGTTCTAGTTCAGCCCGAACTCCAGAGTAAAACCCTATCTATCTCAACTAACAACAACAAAAACCATAAAATTTAAAGTAAAAACAGCAAATCCCAGGCAAAGGGGTGTGGCCTCTAGGCAGATAAGAGGTTTGGCCCACAAAAACAGGTTTTGGCAGAACCTTTGGGAATTAGGGCTCAAAGCAACAGATCTAGCTACCCTAGGACAAAGGAAAGGGCCTGCTCCTGCTTAGAACACTCTGCAAGCCATGCTCCACCCTCCCTTGAAGACATCACAAGTCAGACAAACCCTGACCAGCAGGGAATGGGTGCCTTCTATTCCACGGGGGGGGGGGGGGGGGGGGAGAGGATGACGGGAGGACGACGGATGGACAGATGGACGGACCCTGGAGCAGCCCAAGATTCAGATCTACCAAGAAGACTCAAGAGAGGAGCCAGTTAGGAAGGAGGGAATCTTGTCTTACAAGGGAGCAGCATTAAGCTATGTGACACTCAGGATTGACACAAGGCCTATAGAGACCACTCCTGATTCTGGAGTCACTTTGCCTGGAGGGGTCGTTTGAGACCATCTGTTTTCAGCCCTCAGCAACAGGCTTTGGGAGCCAAGCTTCACAGAGAGATGGCAGTGCAGAAGACCCCACAGGCTAAGCAGCAGCAGAACAGGGGTCCAAACCCAGGTGGCCTGGCTCCCAGTGTGAGCAGGATGTTCCAAAGCACAAGCGTGTGCTCAGCCTGGCTCCAGTGTGGGGCGTCATTCCAGAGAGCACAGGCAGAAAGCCCGCCCAAGAAGACGGCGCGCCCCACCAGTATACAGGTAGCCACCTTTGCCAGCAATCGGCAGCTTCTTCAAATGCCTAATTACTTTGTCTACCCCTTGGAGAATGGAAAAAAAGGCTCTTGTCCCTGCCTTGGCTTTGAGAGAATTTGGAAGGAGGCAGGGAACACACTTCGCACGCCTCTGCCCATGACGCCGATGACCCCTCCCCACCAGGGATGGTTTCCCATGATCTATTTCTGTGCTCTTACGTGACTAGGGAGGCCAACTGAGGCTCAACAGGTTCTACCACAATTTAGACAGCATTTCCACATGTGCAGGCCGGGTACGACTCTCACCTAGCAATTTACACAACTCGTCGAGCAACGCAAGCGAACACCGTCATGTGATGATGGTTAAGAGTGAGGGCTTTGGAAGAGGTGGCCCAGGCTCAAGGCTGTGCCACTTGCTAGTCAAGGCTCCAGGCGCCTCCCCATGCTTCCTGCAAGCATCTGCACAGCACCTACCTCCCAGGCTGCCAAGCCCGAGAGAATGCTCGGAAGATCTCAGAAGAACTAGTCAGGGCTATTATTATTAATGGCTCCTGGCATGTGCGTGCGTGCGTGCGTGTGTGTGTGTGTGTGTGCACGTGTATGTGTGTTCCTCACTCTGGCAATCCAGCAAAGCCTATAGACTACTACTCAGAGTGTTTCTATGGGCTCAGAATGGACCAGGGTGATAAAGTGCTTGCCTAATATATGAGGCTCTGTATATGATCACCAGCACCAAGATAGTAATCATCATCATCACAAATAAGTTTCTAAAGTTCACAAAATAGCCAGGTGTGGGAGTATATGCCTAATCCTAATACTCAGGGTAGGAGTGGGGCCATCCTGAGCTATATTGCCAGACTGCGTCTCAAAAGATCAAAAATGTCTCTGTGAGTTCAAAGCCAGTCTTGTCTACACAGGAAGTTCTAGGACAAACAGAACTACATAGTCAGACCCTGTCTAGGAAATAAAATGGTAAAAAAAAAAAAAAAACAAAAAAAAACCCAGTAAATATGATGGCATATACCAACACTCAGAAGGTAGAGGTAGGAGAATCCCTGAGCAACAAGGTAAGTTCAAGGTCAACCTGGACTACAAACATAGACATTCTGTTTGTCTCTCTTTGTGTTTCTCTCTCTCTCTCTGTTTCTCTCTCTCTCTCTCTCTCTCTCTCTTTCTCTCTCTCTCTCTCTCTCTCTCTCACACACACACACACACACACACACACAGAGGAGTGGAGAAATGGCTCGGTTAGGATCACTAGTTGCTTTTCTAGAGACCCAGGTTCAATTCCTGGCACTCATACGACGGTTCCTAACCACCTGTAATTCCAGTCCTGGGAGATCCAGTGCCCTCTTCTGACCTCCTCAGGCACCAGACATGCACATGGTACACAGGCATACAAAGCAAGCAAAACAATTATACACATAGGTAAATTAAAATAAATAAATAAATAATGTGTTTTGTTTTGATTTTTTCAACAACAAAAAAAAAAGCACACAAAATAAAATGTAAGGCCAACTTCACAGATCACTTGGGCTGTATGAATACTAGGCTCAGACTCCGGCCACAGTAAGGCCTTGGCTCTCATCCAGGTTGTCTGAAGGTTACTCTGTGGTCCTGTCCCCTCAGAGCCTTTCCTACAAACCAGCAGCTAGGTGCCACTGAAAGAGACGAGGTTCTGGGAGCTGTGTCCTCTCAACTCTAAGCATTTCAGGGCCATTTCCTTGGCTTCGCTGCCTGCTTTTTGCAGCTCAGAACTCAGCAGGTGGAATCCCATCCATCCCCCCCCCCCCCCAAAACATCACCTGGAACAATGAACACAAACTCTGGATCCTGCTTTCAAACCCCCACACTCTGAAGCAGCCTGAAATCCTCCCATCCTTGACCTTACTGTGTCCCACTATGTGACACCTCTTCCCAAGGCTATTCTCTGTCCTCCTGGGGCAAGGTGCTAGGAGACCCTCAGCCCTTCCTCCAGCAAGGCAGAAGCAACACGAAACTGACCTCAGAGACCCTCAGAATGTCAGTAAGGAAAAGGCCCAGGAGCTCGGCAACTCAACGCCCCCAGCTGCAGGAGGAGGAAAGTGAGGCCACAGAGGGAACAGGCTTGTCCAAGGTCACCTGAAAAGGAGGCAGAGGAGCCAGCGCTTAATCTAGACTCTCCTGGCTCTCTCTGCCCCGCTCCCTACAAAGCAAAAAGGGGAAAGCCTGGAGGCTGGTGCCAAATTTAGTGAGAGATTCAACAAGGAGCCCTAAGGATCAAGCAATCCAGACGAAGGTTACCAGAGCCCAAAGGTAGAAGAGAGAGGAGGACAAATGGAGGGGAAGCTGGAGGCAGGCTGAGACTCTGAATGACCTTATAGGGATGCGGAATCCAGGTGGAGGACACAAGGTATCCCTGGAGTCAGCACTGATCTTAGGAGACTATCTAGAAAAGAAGATTCCCACCTCCCCACCATCCCCAAAAAGATCTGGGCACAGAAGCTGCAGGCGATTAAAAGGCACAATAATCACGCAAAACCTGCAGCTGTTGCTGGGACTGTTGACTCCTACCTGGAGGAAATGGTGGAGGTAGGGGCCCCAGGGCAGGCCTGCCTCCATTCTCCGTGCACAACCCAGGCTTGAGCGTCCAGCAAGGCACCCTGTCCACCTGGCTGCTTGCCATCATCCCCCGACCCTGCTCAAGTTCAGACACCTGCTCTTGGCATCTCAAAACATCCTCTGTCCAGACTGCCAGGCTGCTGGGAATTGTATTTGCCTGTCTAGGGTAACAGCCAGCCTCTCCCTGCATAGGCCTTTCTCCCACCAAGGTCTGCCACTGAACATGTGAGACAGCTCAGACTCCAACCCGCTCTACATCAGAACCACCAGAGGAGGAGTTTAAATGCTGCCTCCTGAGCTGCGCACAGACTCAGAACCTGCATCCGAACACATCCCCTTGGTGATTCTGTTGCAATTCAAAGATCCACTGTCTCACAGCTTTCCTGGACTGCCTGCGCTCTCTCCTGTTGACAGTCTGACAGCTGTTACAGCTGTGTGCGGACACGGTTAATTTGATTTCCTGTCTGGCAGCTGTGCAGAGGGGAAGGGACAGCTGAGGGTCTCAAAAACAAGATGAGGTAGGAGGACATAGGGGCAGAAGAAGGCTGTCTGTACGGGTGGGTGTTTTACTCTGTTCCCAAGCCCTCATCTTCCTTTGAGTCAAAGTGCCTGCAGGGAGAGAGATAATTGGCTAAGTGGTTCCAAGCATTTATAGGGAGGAAAAAAAAAAACAACAACTACTCTTAAACAGCCCAGGAGTGGAGCCAGAATGGGCCCATTCTCTAGGAGCACAATCTTTGGAGGCACACAGACAGGCCTACCACATAAGATTGTCAAGGTTGTATACTGCAGATGGGCACCCAGCTGAAGGGATGAACTGGAGTTAAACCTAGTCCATGTTCTGGTTGCTAAGTCATAGAGGCACTAGGTAGAAGGACACACCCACCCAGACAAAGGACCATTCTTGAGAGAAACGTGAGTAAAAGTTTTTGTAAGGATTTACAATGGCCCCACACAGACAGACCTGAATTCAAATCTTAATGCCTAATGCCTACTTATTCTGTGATCTTGGGTAAGTTCTTTGACTTCTCTGGTCCTTCTCAATTATGGAATGTGGGTTATTAATGTCCTTCTTAAAAGAGACCAGCGAGGAAAGTCCCGGGTATCCTCGTCACCTCGTGTGTTACAATATTAGTTCCATTCAAGTCCTGCCCTTCCTACCTTCCTGGCATCCTCACACCTACACATTCCTGACACACAGCCATGCTCGGAATGGCCTCAAGAGCCTAAATAAGAACAGCCAGGGAAAGCCCCAGTTTCCCATGGGACTTCCCAACATCCAGAACATTCCTTCCTTCCTGGCACACGCCAGATCCATACCTTCCTCAGGGGGCAGAGAAGTTCCCTCTTCTGCCATTCCTTCTCATAGTGTCCAGGACTCAGCTCAACCAGAAAGAAACGGGAAAATCAGAGCCCAACTCTGGGTCATTGGGAATCCCACAGTGGAGCTAAAGGCCAAGTGGAGGTGCCCACTGTGCACGGGGCAGGGACAGGGTAGCTAGATAGAGCCACCCATCTGTCAAGAGAGGCCGCCAGTCACCAGCAGTGGGAGCAGAAACTGTCTCCTTGTCCCTTCCTTAAGCAGGAAGAGCAGAGTGTGTCTGTCCCTCTTGAACTGATTTACCCTTAGGTGCCCACCGTAGCTGTCTCTATTCAGCCACCAGGTCAAGACCCAGAATAGCGCCCGGGCATCCTGCCAAAAGGTTGGGCCTCCGCCCCCTCATGCAACACTCATTCATCTAGGTGCCACCCACTGTGTTGGGTGCTGGGTGTTGGCAGCCAACAAGACAGCACAGGGAGCAAAAGCTGCCCCCAAATAAGAATTCCCAGGACTTGCTGCTACAAGGGTCAGAGAGGCAGCAACTTGGAAGAGTTACTTCTCCAGTTCCTTGGGCTGGGGAAACCAGAAACACCATCCAAGAAAGCACCCTTGGAAACCAGCTTTTTTCAGTCTTAGGTTTTTGCATCTTGTCTGGAGGCTGCTCAAGAAATCAGAAGAAGAGCGTGTAAGAAGGGACAAGGGACAGGAGGGAAACACCAGGCTTCTGGGCCCTCATGGCCATGTTTATCTAGGGTGGATTTTTTTTTCTTAACCCAAAGGTTAAAGTGTTTCTATTTGAAATGTCTATTTACATTCCAGAGTCCAAAAAAAAAAAAAAGGCAGCCAAGCTCCAGGCCTATATCTGTCCCCAGCAGCGTCACAGACACAGCATCAGAGCTGCTCAGGGGAACATTCTCAGCCCTCTCCCTGAGCTGCCTGGGTGACTCACACCTCCCTCCTGCCAGCAGGGGCTGTGCCATGGCTCAGAAGGCAGGTTGGGGATCTGGAGAGAGGGATTGGCTGGGGTATACTCAGGGACAGAAAGAACATGGCCCTAAACTCTCAGGATTTCTGGGGTCCAATTTCAAAGAAGACAAGTAAATAAGAGGAAACTTGGGGTCATCTGGTGGCTCAATGCAGAACGAGTGGACAACTAGTGGCCACCCTAGGTGATGCTCTTCAGACATTCCTTCACCTCCCAGGAGCCCACCTTAACACCCACAGGCCCAGGTTTGGATGCTGAGGACAGGGGCTGTAGCTCAATTAGCCCTGGGCAAGAAACAGCCTTTGGAGCTCCATCCTAGAGACCTGGTGGGCACAATGCTGGGCTGGTCTCCACAACTATGCCCTAGAAGAGGGGACTAAGTGGACATCCTCATCCATGTCCAGGCAGACAGCAAATCATGTCCCTAGGAGTCTCCGAATCTTCTCAAAACACCCTTCTGACATTTCCCAAACCTACTGCAACCTTATCCCTGGACAGCTGAGAGCCAATCATTCAAATCACAGGTACCCAGAGAAGCACACAGCTCCCACCTTCTAACTGGACCCTTCAGATCCACACCCACATATCCAGAGTCAAGGGCTCTAACACACAGACACATATATTTTCTCTCTCTCTCTCTCTCTCTCTCTCTCTCTCTCTCTCTCTCAGAAGTACCAAGCCAGTCACTGCCAGGAGGGGCCAAGCGGGCATGGGTCCAACAGGCCCCTCCCTGGAGGAAGCATCTTGTGGTGCCAGCCTGGTAGGGAGGCTGTACCAGAAGGGCCTGATGCTGCCAACAGGTTCCTGGGAGTGAAAGAAGGAGTGGCCAGCTCTGGGGTGACTCCACCTCCCATCAAGGATCAAAAAAGTTTCCCCAGAGAAGGTGGCAGGGCTAGGAATCCCCAAGCTTACATTAGGGCATCTTCAAGCACACCTGAGTCAAAGTACCACTTTTCTGTCGTCAGGAACTGGACGAGACAGCAGGGAGCTAGGAACTACGGCAGCCACAATCCTTTAACATCCCAGCTGCTAGTCTCTGCTCTATCCTATCCCATTGAGCCTCCTCCTTAAAGGTCCAATCGCAGAAGTCTCCTGACCAAAAACTTGCCAAAGTCACTGTACCCTGACCAGGTCAAACCAAGCCACAAAAGCCAGGACATTTCTGATTCTTATAGGTACCCCAGGTGCATGCTTCTTCTGCTCAATTGTGGGAAGCAGAGAGCCTGAACACAGGTCACTGACCCACTTCCTCCCCTCTGACCATAGTGCCAACTAGGCCAGAATCCTCTAGAAAGCCCCAGCCCCTCACAGCTGAGCTGATCCTGCTGGAGGCGAAGGCACCAGAGGGATGCAGCAGAAGGTGGCTAGGAGGCAGGGTGAAAAGGAGGGAAGAGAGACTGCCCTAGAAGCACAGCTCTTCCAATCCATGGAACTCTCAAGAAAGTCTGAAGCAAGACCCCAGTGGGGCAAGGCTCACGGTAAGATGCTCAATCCAGGTAGCAGGATGCCCGAGATCTGAGGGCAGGTGGGGACACAGAGCCACTTACCTGCCACAGGGATGCTGTGCAGAGGAGTCCGTGGCAGGATTTCCAAGGATGGTTCCCGGCCTGATATGCCATCTGCTGAGAAACAGGACTCGGTCTCATAGATGGTTTGCAGCATCTCCACGAGCCCCTGTGCCTTGGGCACCAGCAGCATGCCAGGGAGGGGCCGCCCGAGGCGGAAGCCGGTGAGGGGAAGGTGGTCAGTTGGGCCAGCTGGCTGCTCAAGGACTCCCTCAGGCCACTGCCGCTGGGACCCACAAGGCAAGGAGGCGCCTCATCCGGCCTGGGCGCTCTGGAGGCAGCGGAGGCAGGGAGGCTAATGAGGCTGTAGGCGGGCTCTCTACTACAGGAGCATGGACCAAGGCCCGTCCAAAGGTTCCAGGAGTTGGGCTATGGCTGGGTGCTCAGGGGACAGGAAGGGGAGCTCAGTGGGCAGGCAGGCTCTCTGTGTTCCCTCCCAGCGCCACCGGTGACAGCTCTGGGCCTGGCTCCCTGCTCCTCCTCCCCGAATGAGCCGCCGGCAGCTGGCAGGAGACTGAAATAGCAGTTGGGGGAGGGCCCTGTCTATAAATAGGTGGAGCATGCTCAGGGAGCCGCCGGCTGGCTGCCAGGAGCCCAGGCCTGGCGGAGGCCCCATGGGGGGAGGCGCGTTCCACCCCAGGAGGAAGCGCCAGTCAAGGGGGAGGGGGGACTGGGGTGGCCTGCACTCAGGGCCAAGGCCACAGACCTGGGTGGCCAGTGGCTGGACTAGTGAAGGGTGCAGGCAGGGGACCCAGCATCTGGGATCAGCTCTGGTTACTGCTGTGGGCAAACAATGGATCGGACACCAAGAAGCCAGCCTGGATCTGCCACTGTCCCCCTTTCCGTGCAAAGTAAGGAAAAGAATCAAAAAGACTAGGGAGAGGTGACAGACAACCAGCCACCTGGACTAACCTCACACCTCCTCCTAACAGCCTGTGGAGTTTGTTTAACTGCTGCCTTCCCACAGAGCTGGGAGATGCCTCCCTACACTCTTACTATCAGGGGGACCCTAAATAGCAGGAGGGTGGCAGCTCTCTCCCACCCATTCTAGAGTGCCACCTCTGGCAGTCGGGCTTTCCGGGCTTTCTTTCAGAGATCCAGAGCCGAGAGACTCTCTGGGCAGGCCTTGCCCAGCCCAGGCAGGGGGCTGGACAGCACCTGCCCATTCTCAGCTCAATCAATGTTTTTCTGGCAAGGTACCCAGTGCCCATGCTGAGGGCATCACAAACACCATCGCCTTCATGCTAACAGTGACCTCCAGAAAGAGGCCAAGATGGGGGAAACTGAGGTCCAGCAAGATGAAAGTCACTCCGGTCATAGAGATGCTCCCATGAGAGGGATGCAGTTCTGAGGTTCTGACCACCATACCTGACAGGCAAAGACATACACAGTCTGCCCCAGGGACAAGGATCTCCAGAGCCCAAATAGAAAGCCTTGGGGTTGGAGGCCTTCCAGTTAGTCATAAAACTATTAGCATCCTAGCCTGGTGGAGTAGTCTCAGCTCTCTGGGCCATGGCCACTGTGCCACCAAAGTTGGTGCCACCTGCCAGCACTCCCCACTGATGACCTGCCCCTTCTCCCCAGGTTGTGCCTCCTACCAACTTGGCCCCCTGACCTCACAGGAGCCTTTTAATAGACTGGTTATTCCTGGGTCTGTATCTTCCTCCCCTTGTCTGACGTCACAGTTGCTATTTTGGACCCCTCCTGGCCCCTCCTTGCCCCCCACTCCAGGCATGGAGCCAGGGACACCTGTCCTCTCTCTAGACTGGATGACCTCACCCTACTGTCAGAAGCCTGGGAGAAGCTGTCTAACCAAGGACAGGACACGGTGGCTGTGGCTCCCAAGCTTCTGCCAGGATAGCAAGGGCCTCCTCCCTCAGGTAGGAAAACCATAGATGAGAATGGTAGAGGCAAGCTTTCCTGAGCATGGTGAGAGGCAGATGCTGATGGGGACAGGAGTTTGGTTCCCAGAGGGAGACCAGGAACCAAACTGGGAGGGGTCTGATGCTACAGCCAGGGCAGATTCTAGAAGAAAAGGTAGCAGAGCTGAGCAACCCAGGCGCTTGGTGCTGGAAGACATCACCTGTGGACCACCCTTTCCCCAACTGCATCCTGGCCCACTAGGTCCTCTTGAGAACAGGAGGGAAGACCAGGGTGCCCTCCAAGAGAGCCACAGGCAGCAGACACAAGGGAGCCCTGAAAGCCAGGGGCAGCAGCCTCTCCCAGCCAGCACTCCACCCACCCACGCTGGGAACAACCAGAAGGGCTGGCTAGCCCTGTCCTGGCTCACTCTACCTGCCCCAGGCACAGGAGAGAGGCAGGGAGTCCTGCTCAAGGGAGGTCAGCAGCCATGACAACCTGAGAGCAAGGCCCTCAGACTCTAGATTAGCCTGATGTCAAAACGGACTCCCTTTCTTCTTCCTTCCTTTTTTTTTTTTTTTTTTTAAATTTGGAGGCAGGGTCTCATTCAGTAGCAGAGACTAGCCTCAAACTCACTGCGATCCTCCTGACTCAGCTTTAACCCCTGCTGGGACTACAGGTTTAAGCTATCAAACTTGGTAACAAGGATTCTCTTTTTTACCGCGTGTGGGCTCAGGGACAACAGTCAGCCCCACCATAACTTCTACTAGGAAGAAAAATGTCTTCAATGCAGTTCCCAAAATCCCCCAAGGAAACATGAGAGACAGGTCTAGCGGGAGGGAAGACAGGCATCTTTCTTCTTCCAAGATGGAGACAATGTAACAAAGTCTTCCTAATAGTTAACCTCAACCTTCACCGCTACAATGCCCCTCTTTCTGCTTGCATCTCCATTCCTATCTCCAACTCTGAAGTCCTAGCCCACAAATCTCACAGAGTACTCAACTAAAGACGTGGTTCATGAAACACATCCATAGCCAGCAGTATCAAGTTCAAGCCCAGTTTGGGCTACAGAACCAGCTCTATCCTCCCCAGCAGCACTACCTCCACCTCCTCCAAGGCTACACTATGGCCTCCAATTCCTCTAAAGCTGGGGCAGACGGGAGAGCCCAATGCTACCTCCTTGAGCTCTTCCAGCCCTCACTTCCTTGGCCCAAAAGCTGGCATGGAGCCCTGACTGAATAGGCAGAGAAGTACTGCTTCGTGCAGTCAAAAAAGCCTAAGGCTGGCCCTGAGACCCTGGCCTGTGAGATGCCTCGGAAACATCAACCCTGCCTACTACCCTCTAGTTTTATCCTTTGAACACAGTCATGCTGGGACCCATCATTATGGCCTAGGAACTACCATGAGCCAGGTCCACGGTTAGGTACTGGCGGAATCTTCTCATTTAAAACCAACTACAAGAAAAATGTGGATATCTCCTTTGGCATCTACCTCCCCTCTGGGTTGACCCTGACTCCTCTCACCATCCAGTCCTAAGCCTTCAATTCCTCTAGGATGATGAAGCAAGGCAGAGAAAAAAAGAACAGATTCCAACCTGTTAAGGCACCTCAGTAGAGAAGGAAACCAAGGGTCTTTTCCCCAGACCCCTGCCCAGGCCAGCACTGACCCACTTTCTCCTCCTGGCTGGCTGGCTGCCCTCCCAGGGGCTCAGAAGCAGAGCCTGAGGCAGGGAGACAGGACGCCAAGGTTCCTGGCTCCACCCCACACCCATGCCCCAGTTTCTCTGGTCACCCCAAAGGGAGGGGGCAGCCGCCCTCCCTCCTGGGAAAGGGAAGGAGAGAAAGTGTAGAGGGTGCGAGGAGGTGCTGGGCAGACAGGTGTTATCGTGAGGCTCATCTCCCTCCCACGCTGGGCATCGGGAACCTGGATGCCTCCTCCAGGGCCCCACCAACAAACACCCAGACAGGATCACATGGCAGGCCACATTCTTGTCCCTCTATGAGCAATGGCACCAAGAACAGGGTATGGCCAGGGCAGTCGAGGTCCTAGGTCCCAGGGAGGCTCCTTCAAGCCAGTGAGGCCAAATCAGACTGCTACAGATTCGATCGGTCTTTAACCCCATGGAGGAGAATGTATAGACAGCACTGGGTCCAGAAAAATAAAGAATGCCTGACCACAAAAAAAAGGGGGGGGGGGAGCTGGGCGGTGATGGCACACGCCTTTAATCCCAGCACTCAAAGGCAGAGGCAGGAAATCTCTGTGAGTTCAAGACTAGTCTGATCTACAGAGTGAGTTTTGGGACAGCCAGGACTACACAGAGCTACACAGAGAAACACTGCCTCAAAAAAAAAAAAAAAAAAAAAAAAAAGCACCCTCTTCTGCCGAAAGAGAAAGGTAGAAAGTAGACAGGAGCAGAGCGGCCTCTTCTGGGAAGCAGAATCCTCAGATGAACAGAGAGGTAGATGAGGTCAAGCGTTGGCATGCAGCCCATCCCAGAAGTATACAAATTGAGTGCCCACTGCCTGAAGTGGTGGGCCCAGAAGCAGATCACTTAATCTCCACCTGCTACCCCTCAGCAGGAACTTGCATGCTGACTTACAGGCTGGGATGACAGGGATGGACTATTTCCTGGCTTCTTGCTCTGTTCCACCAGCCCAGCCTCGTTGGTGATGCCAAGCAAGGACTTGTCAAACCAAAAGTTCTTATGGTGAGAGAAAGCAGAGGACAGAGAGAAAGCGAACTGCTGTACCCTACCCTGCGTCTGACTGCCCTAGGGAGAAGAGAGCAAGTGGGGCCAGGATGTGGAGGCGATGGGTCACACTCATCACTCCTTCCTGTCTGCTGCCTGCCCTAGGGCTTCAAATCTCTCTTTCTTTGGCGGGGAGGGGGCTTCTGCTAGATGTCCACAGGGAACTGGACACCTAGGGGCTCTGGTAGGGGCTCTGGTTACAAATTGGGGTTTCACTTTATTTCTGTGGAATTCCAAGGCATGTATTCTCAGCTTCTGCCAGCCTCTGGGCATCAACAGCCCCAATCCAGATGCCAGCTGAACTCAGAGAATAGATGCTGAGCCCCTCAAAGAGGAAAAGCTGTGTACAGACTGGCTGTCTCCATGGCAGAGGGCAGCTGGAGCCCACTAGAGTAGCCAGCCCCAGAACCGTAGGAAAAACTATGGGAAGGGCCACAGCAGTTCACTTCTTGCCATAAGCAAAGACCCCTGTTTTGATGCCTCTCACCGGTCCTAAAAAGAAGTTCTATATTCTGTGTCCCCCCCCTCCCATACATGGAAAAGACAGCATCTCCCCCTGCTGGGGGCAGCTGGAAAGCCAACCAGGAGGCAGGTCACCAAGGATGCCTATCCTGCCAGAGCTCAGATGCCAAGCTGATGCACATCTGCCAGCTCTGGGAGGATGGCAGGAGGAGAACCTGGACCATTGGTGTCTAGAATACAGTCTAGTAAATCTCTCACCCTGAGTGGATTATGATAACCTTCCACTGCTAGAGAACAAAACCCTACTTAATGCTAAGAAATGTCCTTCCCAAGCCACCAACAGATGTCCCCGGGCAGCTTCTGTGCCCCTGGTCAAGGGTCAGCTCCCAACCCCCATGTGAAGCAGATATGAAAGTGGCTCAGAGAAAGGAAGCAAGCAGCATTATTGCCAGTCACGCCTGACGTGCAAAGAGCAGAACTGAGGGACCGGTGAACAGTCATCGGGCCTCTTCCATCCCTCTCACCATCCAGCCTAAGAGGATGAGACAGGAAGCCAGAGCTCTAGAGCCTGCCTGGTGCAACCCTTAGGGGCTGAACAAAAGCAAGAACAGGTCGACCCCAGGAGGAGCCACAAACACAGAAAGAAGGTGACGAGGGAACAAAGCTGCGGTGGGATTCTCCCTTCTTCTTGCAGTTCAGTTTTTATCCAATGCCTTCAACTTCCCTTTCTCTTAAGAGGGAAAATATTCATCTATCCATGCTTGCAGAAAACGATGCAGGGACAGGGTGTGCTGGGAAGGACTGAAGTTGGACAGGATAGATGCAGGACTTGTCACACTGCAGGACGAGATAGCTGAGGACAAAAGGCAGCTACTACTCTGACCACACTAACCTGTAACCTCCTGGGAAACTCTGGAGGGTCCAGCTCGAGACTTCTGGATCTATCCTCAGGGGCACACATCCGGACACACCCAAACAGAAAGCTACCTAGAGTCCCACCCACAAACTATTCCTGGCAGCACTGAGCAGGGTCCCAACAGAGAGGAACGGGAGCCATGACCCCAGCTTAGGAATCTACCAAGAGGAAGAGGGTGATCTATTTTGCACTCAGCAGAAGGCCAAGACTTCCCCACAATGTATACCCAAGCCTAAGGCATAAGGCCCTGAGAGGCTCCACCAGAAAAAAGGTATGGAACAAGAGACACTCCAGCAAGGGAAAAAGCCACCACCACAAGAAGTAGCACAAACATTCAGCTGCATCCAGGGAAATGCTTCTAACACTGTCCCAGGCTACCCGGAGAGATTCACACCACCATCTCAGGTACCCAAAGCTCTCATGTTGAAGGCAGGCATGGGGGCAGAGGGAGACCCAGGCCCAGAGCCATTGATTCCCAGGTCTGCCTCACAGTTGGCCTCTGGCCTTTTTTTTTTTTTTTTTTTTTTTTTTTTTTTTTGGTGAGTTCTCTACTCTTTACCCCTTCAATCCTTGACAGCTCAGACACTGGCAGTCAGCTGGCCTGGGCAGGAAACCCACACAGCCCATTGTATCCAAAACTGCCCCAGGAGGCTCCTCTCCAACCTCACAGCTCTTACCCGACTTGTTGGGAGAGTTCATGCCGGCTCTGGGCCTGCAGGAAGCTGGCGTTGGGGGCTGGGACGGGAGGGGGTGGAGCTGCGGTGATGTCAAGAGAGACAGACGATAACAGACAGACGGATGGGACAGGAGCCCGGGGCCGCAATGCCTCTAATGCCCATCCAAGGCCATCCTTCGGGGTGAGGCAGTCAGGCACTCAGAACGGCATCCCTGGGGAGAGACGGAGCAGGGTTAGCGGTCCCTAACTCGGGACTCTGAGAGCCAAGGGAGACCTTGGAGCGGTCAGCTTGTACCTGGGAAGAGAGGGAGGGCCACCTGACCAGGGCACACAGGAAAAACAGAACTGGACTGGACTCTTATTTCTTCTCTTCCTGATACCCAAGGGACAGGAAATGGCCACATCAATCTCTGCAGGCATTGCCAGGTGTGGAGCCCTTACAGACTCCGGAAGGTGCCTAAGTCACCAACAATGTATAGGAAGATTCTGGCCACAATTTGTGGCAACGGGAAAGACTGAACTGACCTGGGATCCCTCACAGAAGTTCAGGGAGAGAGCTACTGGGTACCTTGGCACACGCCTTGGGAGGATCAGAAGTTCAAGGTCAAACTTGACTATGTAAACTTAATGCTAGCCAGGGCTACTGGAGATCCTGCCTCCAAAAAACACCAGGCAGGGCCAGTGAGCAGGCTCAGCAGGTAAAGGTGCTTGCTGCCAAGCCTGATGACCTGAGTTCAGTCCTACCCACATGGTAGAAGGAAAGAATCAACTCATAAAAGTTGTCCTCTGACCTCCATGTATTCATTGTGCCATCTACGCACCCACACATATACATCTACACATACAAATAAATGTAATTTAAAAATATTAATAAGCGGGGCGGGGGGTGTACACCTTTAATCCCAGCAGAGGCAGGTGGATCTCTGAGTTTGCTGCCAGCCTGGTCTACAGAGCTAGTTCACAAAGAAACCCTGTTTCAAAACAAAAACAACAACAATAATAATAATAGTAATAATAAAATGCTTAAAATTCAGCTGAGTGGTAGTGGTGCATGCCATTAATCCCAGCACTTGGGAGGGAGAGGCAGGCAGATCTCTGTGAGTTTGAGGCCAGTCTGGTCTACAGAACTAGTTCTAAGACAGCCAAGGCTACACAAAGAAACCCTTTCTTCAAAACCAAACAAACAATTTTTTAAGTTCAGGAAGGAACTGACACCCAGACCAGCAGTTCTGGGACTCTCAGGCCAGGCATCTTCTCCATGTGTTCGAAGCCTTTGCCACCCATCTCTGGAAATGAAACATACTTTCTTGTCTTCCCAACACCACAATGAGTCAGGGCACAAGAGTGTGTTTTATGAACTGGGAAAATCAAACAGGCCCAGCACTCACTGTAGATGTGCTGAAGTTTCTGGGCCCCAACCCAGGGCTTTGTGTGTTGCTTGGGTTGTGCTCTATGGAAGCAACCATGAAATCCAGCCCGTGTACTGCCTGTCAAGCAATGACCTGACATGTACTGACTCTCCCAGAAAAAAGGACACCTTTCCCCAGTTTAGACAAAGGCACCAAAAGGCCCAGAGTAACCAAAGTCAACGGAGTAATGGAACCATGGTCATGCCAGAGTCCACACTCTAGCCCCATAGTTAATCTTCAAGCCTTAGACACTAGGCAGCACCCACCTGGACCAATCCCTAAACAGCCCTCGATGCACCCAGACATGATCTCATTCATTTGCTTCCAAAAGAAGCCAGGCTCTCCAATGCCCTATGAGAGCAAGTGTCAGGAAGCGACCAGAGCTGCCAATCTTAAAGCCCTAACTCTGCTCCCCAACCCCAAGCAGGCAATCAGCTCTATCTCCCAGATAGCTGCTCCTCCTGCCAGTATGAAATCTCTATAAACCCTCCATCCTCATCAAAGATTCCCAAGGGTGAGGTCCAGTTGGAGCCTAGAAGCCCCCAACCTTCCTTGGCAGGGTCAAAAGAATGCAGGCAAAGACGCAGGGCTCCTGGGCCCACTGCTCCCTGCTGTTTGGGACTCTGTGGCTACAGAAAGGTATATTCAGATCAGGATTCAGGACTGAAAGATGGAAGCTGAAGACAGAAGAACCTGCACAGGTCTGGGACCAAGTTCAGGAATGCAGCAGGTGGGGCTGCTGGTGCCCTGGCAGGGCCCGCGTGGGCAGGCCAGCTCAGCCGGAGCCCACACCAGGGCTGGCGCCCAGTCCCGCTCACACCCTTTCCCGTGGGTTGAGGAGCACAGGTTCAGAAATTCCCACGGCTGGCAGCAGCCTAAGTAGTACAACCCATCTATTTAGTGAGAGAAACCTCCAAGGCAGGACACTCGAGAGGAATAGCTCCCAAGGGCCCCATAACTGGTGACGCTCAGCCCTTAACCCCCTCATCCTCACCTAGCACCACTGTGGAAGGAGACAGCCCCTTGGACTCACACAGTGGGCTCAGGGTGGACTTATGTTCCATTGCTCCTCACAGCATGGGACCCAGGGGCCCTATCCACCTGCAAAGGGCATCTCCCCACTTCACAGGTCTGCCAAGTGAACAAGAACCACCAGCATGACTTCCTGGGAAACAAAGAAGCCTTCACAGCCCAATTAGGATGGGGCAAGGGAAGAGCGGACAGCCTGAGCCCTTCGTGCCTCTTCAGCAGAGATGTGGCCCACTACTGTCACAAGAAGGTCTCTGTGGGTGGCTGGGGGCTGGGAGCTCTGTGCCTGATGAACTACCCCCCACAGGGACAACAACCCAGTGTACACCTCCAGCACCCCCAAGACCCTGCTCCCCTCTCAACTCTGTCCTTTTTCCTGACTAGTCCAGGGTCTGAACCTACCTTGTACTCCATCCAGAGTACTGGGGCAAGGAATAGTGCAGGGAAGGGCAGAACCTCCACCTACAGGCTCTGCTCAGGTGAAGAAGGCAGAAACCCTAGGGAGGCAACCCCACTTCAGTCACTAGCAATAAAAACTCCAGCGGAAGGTGGGAGGTCGTGCACACAAGAAAAGGTGACCAGAGCCGTGCAATGTCCAAGGGCCACAAGTTCACTACAGCTTCCTACAGAGATCCTGTCCCTCAGACAGCTCCTTCCAAATTCCCCTCCACAATCACCATGCCTCCCACTCCCCACGCGCCAACTCTCAGCCTGAGAGAGGCTTGAACTCCCAGCCCAGGGCCAACTCTCAGGTCAGGGGCCACACCCTATGTCATAGAGAACAGGGCCCAGCAGTTTGAAACACAGCCTCTGCATCGATGAGACAGGCTTCACTTATCCCAACCCTCACTGCCTGGCAAAGCTCAAAGCCCAGACGTATCCCACCCAAAGGCACCAGCGGTTTCTCATCTCAGCTCCTCCAACTCCAGCCATGGTAGACAACTACTCCCAGCCTCCTCCTGGAGCTTCCACTACCCTGGGCCTCCCACCCCCCCAAGCTGAGCCAACAGAAGTCCAGGAGGATGGAAGCCATGCAGGCCCCAAACTAGGGAAAGGAGGAAGGCAACAAGGGAGGGAAAAAAGGCACCAGGCTGACAAATTCATTTTTGCAATCGGCCCATTTCTGTTTGTCTGCTCAGACGCAGCTCCAGGCATCTGCACAAGCCAGATGGAGGAGGCTGCTATTTCTAGAAAAAAAAAAGAGGGGGAAGGGAGGAGGTGGAGACAGAGGGCATTAGACAGGGTCTGTTTGCCCTAAAACCTCAGACACAATGATGATACTCCCCCCACCCCAGCACTACCAGACAGGGCTCCTATTCAAGAAAGGGCTGAGGCTGGGGCTGGGGTGAGGTGGGCAGGGGGAGAAGAAAGGGAGAGAAAGTTTAATTAGCCAAAGTCAGCTACAATAGGCCCCTCACGGGCTGCATCAGGTTTTCATTCATGAGCAAGCAACACGCTCCAAAGTGCCAAAAATTGCCGCCCCCCCCACTGTCTTTCTCACACCACCCCCCAACAGGAATGAGTCCTCTAGCAGGCTGGCTGAGCCTGATGCTGTGTTCCAGACATCCCTCCTCAAAGGGATGTGAGTAGGAAGACTTCATTATTAAAGAGCAGCTGGTACTTCAGCACCAACTGCATGACCCCCAGCTCCTGAGGCTGCGCCCCCTCCTCTGCCATACGGAAACAAGGGCACCCCATCCCCAAGCCCCCATATCTAAGCACACCGCTATCACCCCTAAGAAACGGAAAGCAAAGCTCTTATCTCTGCTGCGACTTGGGGAGGGAGGTGCATGTGACACCGTTACCCCCACTCCAGATTTCATGTTCCTTGGAGGACAACACTGAGGAAGAGGAGGGACTGGCCCAGACCAGTCATTTTCTACGTGCCGCCCCCTGCCCGGAACGTGCATCTGGGACCTCTCTGGCCCCCAGTGTGTCAAGAGATGCTAGGAGCCTACTCATTTAATTCAGCTATTCTCATCTTTGACAAGACCTAGTCCAGATCCAAGTCTAAGTGGAAGGAGGGCGAGAGAAGGTTTAAGAAAGAAGGAGGAAGCAAACCAAGTTCTCCCCAAGCTTTGTTGTTCAAGGAGGGAAAGGAAAGGAAAGGGAAGATTGGAAGAAAAAAGCAGGCAGCCCCCAACATGGCTCATCCACAGACCCCTCTCAACACCCTACATGGGCTCCTGGCTCCCAGTGTTATTGGGCTTCAGAAACTGAGGTGCCTCCCTGCCTACAACCTTAGCACCAAAGTGGAGAGCCAACAGGACCCAAAGTCCTCTCAATCTCCCACCCCCTACCTCCTTTTGTTCCTAGGATCTGGCTCTATCTTCCCCTCCCATTGAACCCTAAACCCCTCTCTTCATTCCTGTCCCCAAGATCCAAAGCTAATTCCAGGTCCCAGAAGCATAGTGGTCACTGTCAGAGCGCTGAGTCCCTTCCTCACACCCCAAAAGCGACTGCAGCCTCTACCCTTCCTCTTCAGGAACAAAGCGCATCTTAGAAGGGCCAAACGCAGGGACATCAAGTGGTCACCTTCTCCCTGAAATGAAGCACACCCTACTCCCCGCCCCCAGCTTCTAGATCAATTACTTATCACCCAGCCAGTTCTCATCTTCCTGAGGGCCTCAGGGATGGGTGGGGTGGGGAAGCCGACTCCCCCAAGTTAACAAGGCACTATCAGAACCCCTGCCCCATGAGAAACAAACCCAAGATGAAAACTGGGTGGGGGGTAGGGATCTACCCTCGCCAAGGAAGACCACCAATTCATCTCCCAGCTTTTTCCTGAGCTCAAGGGTGTCAGACAGAAGAGGGTGGTAATGAACGCAGTAACGCCTCACAGGCGAGGGGGTGAGATTAATGGCACAGAGAAGTAAGGTGGCCCCCCGCAGTCCCCTTTCACCTGCATGGACGTCAAGGGCATAAAATCAAGCGTAGATTCTTAGCCACTTGGAGAAGCACGGTGGGTGGGCTGCGCCCCTCACCGCAAAGTAACAAGAAAGGGGTGTCCAGTGAAAAGAGGGTCTGCCCAGAATCCAGGTGCAAGGCTCAAATCGCTGTTGCAACGGATTATGAACTGCCAGGGAGGAGACAAATCAGACATCCCCGGCTGGTCTGCGGGCCATTTAGGGGCGCGGGGTGCGGGAAGATCGGCCCCTCCCTTACCTGCAGAGAAGGAGCCCTGCAAGGGAGGGGTGGGGAGGGGCGCGCGCGGCGAGTCAGAGGCGACGCTCCCAAGCCCCACGACACCCCCTGGGGGTGCGGGCTGGTTCGGCGCGCGCGCCTGGAGGAAGGACAGGGGAGCAGGGAGCCAGCGGGCAGCGACGGCGGGAGGACCGAGCGCAGCTGGGCGTCCCGGGGCTACGGGAGGTAAGGTCCCGGCGGATGCGGCGCGCTCACCCGCTGCGGCTCGAGCTCCGGCTTCGCGGGCGGCGGCGGCAGCAGCGGCGGCAGCAGCGGCGGCAGCGCCTCCTCGACGGCTCCTCCATCTTTGCGGCAGCTCCTCCGGCTCCGCTCGCCGCCGCCACCAACAACAACATTCAGAGACGTCACTCCCGTCACGTGACCCGACCCCGAGCTAAAAATAGACCCAGACCCCCCCCCACTCGGGCTTCAGCCACGAACCCCTCCCCTCCTAGTTGGTCCTCCCCCCAGATGGGAGGGGCCAATAGCGCCACCGTGACAGCTCCTTAAAGGGACGGTACTCAACCCAAGGTTAGGCTGGGGCGGAGGTGGCCAAGAAGGGGCCCGACTTCTGCGCCAAGTAATGAAATGAGTGTAACCCGGATCCCGGCTGCTGCAGGACCTGGATGTGTGGATCTATGATTTTGTTCTCTGCGCTTTGTCGACTTCCTTTACAAACAGTCGATGGTGCAATCTTTGCTCGCCTGAGCTGTTCCCTAACACGCCCTTCCCCTGCTAGGGGGAGGGTGTGGAGTAGGACGGGGGGGGGGGGAATCCTAGGGCCTGCCTGGGAAGTGGAAGACCCTGCAGGGGCAGCGAGGCTGGAAGCTTAGCTTGAACAGGTCTCTAGCCCACCATGCCTAAACCGCAGCAACGCTGCATCTTGGTGTAGAAAATCCTTGGAGAAAGCCAGCATTGGTTGTTAACTGCCCCTGGCCTTCAAAGAAGCAAACCAAGAACCTAAAAGACTGCTGGTCTCCAACTTTGGTGCCATCCTCACTACATGTCAATAGGACATGGCTGTGCTTTTAAACCTACATAGTTTTTTCAATGACCTAGCAATTCCCCTAGCAAAAATGTATTGTCAGGAAATATTGCAAAGAAAGAGATTGTTTATAATAATGTGAACTGTTAGAAACAATCTAAATATCAGGTAGGTATCTGCAAATAAGCTAAGAGAAGTCCATTCAGCGAGCTATCATCCAGATGCTAAAAATTATATGTAAAGCCAGCAATTAATCTGCTTATCTGAACATGTTTCTGCAAAAATTTAGAAAGAGCTGGCAATAGCATTGTCAAGTAATGAGCCTTAAAGGACATGTGACTGTCCTTAAGATCCCTAAAAACAACCACGATATTGCAAAAAAAAATATTATATAGATCTACAGCCTGGAGCATAGCTTAGAAGTAGAACATGTGGTTAGCATATGAGGCCTGTGTTCAATACACAGCTCCCAAAACAAGACAACATGGTTACACTGACATGCTCACTTTACACACACACACACACACACACACACACACTTTTATTTTATTTTGCCTTTCCAGACAGGGTTTCTCTGTGTAAAAGTCCTGACCATCCTGGAATTTTCTCTGTAGACCAGGCTGGCCTCAAAGTCGTAGAGATTCACCTGCCACTGCCTCTTGAGTGCTAGGATTAAAGACGTTTGCCATTACTGCCCGACTTCACACACACACACACACACACACACACACACATTCTAAAGCAGAGGGTGTGGGTAAATGCCTATAGTCTCTGCACTTGCGAGGTAGAGGCAAGAGGATCTCTGCAAGTTCAAGGCCAGCTTGGTCTACTTAGCAAGTTCCAGGACAAACAGAGTTTCCTAGAGAGAACTTATCTCGAAAAAGCCAAATGAGAGAGAGATAAAGATACCAAGACCAGGGCTGGAGAGATGGCTCAGCCGTTAAAGGCTAGGCTCACAACCATAAATATAAAGATACCAAGACCATTCTCCACTATAGTGAATTTGAATTCAGTACCAGCCTGAGCTTCACAAGATCCTATTTCAAAAATAAAAAGTTATATGGGGGATGGATCAAAGCAAGACCCCACAAGAATATTGATTTGTTTCAATAGTACCAGTAGTATATGCAAAAGCAAACTAAATTCATGGATCTGAGTCGATATGCATATAAAACCTTAGGAAATATCAACCAAACATTTACTTTCTTTGTGGTCTTTTTCTGAACCCCTGAAATCTGAAACCACCATGTATTAAAGTAAAAGACATGCATAAAAAAAAAAACTTGTAATATCTGGGTAGTGATGGCACATGCTTTTAATCCCAGCACTCGGGAGGCAGAGGCAGGTGAATCTCTGTGAGTTCGAAACCAGCCTGGTCTATAAAGAGAATTCCAGGACAGCCAGGGATACACAGAGAAACCCTATTTTGAAGAACAAAAACAAAAAACCCTGTAATAAATGGTAAAGGGTTTTCCTATAAAGTATGTCATGAATGCCCCACGCCCATATATCTCTATCCCCACACTTCGTTCTTAGCCAAAGGGCACCTTACCTGAAGTGCCATAGCTGCCTCCTGGCAACGACTACCCTCCCTGCGTCCCTCTTGCCTCCTCCAAAGTGACAATTTAGAATGCAAATCTACTGAAGAGCAGTTTTGAAAACAATTCTGATTTTGTCATTTAAACTTGTCACCAGTCCAGGAATGTGTACAACAACTCGCCAGAGAAACTTGCTCATAGATGTTCATTCTTGGGCACCCCCACCCCCAGAGCTTGTTGTTCAGAGTGGGAAAGAGGCCCAGAAATCTTCATTTTTAATACAAACCCAGGAGATTTTGCCGCAGCTGGTCCTCTCCTGGATCTTGGAAAAATACCAGCCCAAAGCTTGAGCAGGACATGATCCCTGCCTCCCCAGCCTCCTGCCTAAGCTTAACTTTCCCTAGTCTAGCTCTACATCATTCTCCCCAGTTCTTGAAGAATGTGCCCCTTGCTCTTCCCGGCCTTTACACAAACTTTTTTTTTCCTCTTCCATTTTTGATTTCTGGAATGCCCCTCCTCCCTTCTCTTTGCCTCTAATGCATCTGCCAGAATTTAACTAAATATTACTTCCCGAAAGAGGCCATTAGTCTGTCTTTTAATTAAACTAGATCCCCTCGTTTTATATGCTTGCTTTCACCGACTCTGATAATAATTTATAACCATGTAGCATTATCTTTAGCGTTATTGGTATAAGTTCTTTGGGGGGCAGGTGCTAAGTATGAAACCAGGGCCTTACACATACTAAGCACAAGCTCTGCTACTGAGCTCCCCCCTCCACGCACTAAGGAAACGAGGGTCTTGAACACAGAATCTGCACATCTCCAACGCTGTTGGAGAGACTTGATGAACTCTGTTGACTGATATGGATGAGTGTTAAGAAAGTAAACTAGGTAGTGTCCTCAGACTGGACCGTGGACTCTGAGCAGAAAGGCCACTCCAGTGTAGACATCCCACACGGCTTTGAGTCAGGGGTCTTCCAGTCTTCTTCCTGTAAACCAAACCCATTGCGCTGGCTAATATTATATCAACTTGACCACAAGCTAGAGTCATTGGAAAGGAAGAAGCCTCAACCGAGAACATGCCACCATAAGATCAGCTGCAGGCAAGCCTGTAACACATGTTCTTAATCAGTGATCCAGGCAGAAGGCCCAGACCCTTGTAGATGGTGCCACTTCAGGCCTGGTCGTCTTGGTTTCTATAAGAAAACTGACTAAGCATGAGTTCAATTCCCGGCAACCACATGGTGGCTCACAACCATCTGTAACGAGAGCTGCTGTCCTCTTTTGGTCTGCAGACACACACAGACAGAATATTGTATACATAATAAATAAATAAATATTTTTAAAAAATTTTTAAAAGAAAACTGACTAAGTCATGAAGAGCAAGCCAGCACTTCTCCCAAGACCTCTTTGGATCATCAGCTCCTGCCTTCAGGTTCCTGCCCTGTTTGAGTTCCTCCTGACTTCCTTCAATGAAGGAACAATGATGTGGAAGCATAAATCAAATAAAAAGCCCTTTCCTCCTCAAGTCGCTTCATGTGTGGTGCTTCATCATAACAATAGTGATCCATAACCATAGTGGCTTTGATCCCAGCACTTGGGAGGCAGAGGCAGGCGGATCTCTGTGAGTTCGAGGCCAGCCTGGTCTACAAGAGCTAGTTCCAAGACAGGTTCCAAAGCTACAGAGAAACTCTGTCTCAAAAAAACCACAAAGAAGAAGAAGAGGAAGAGGAGGAGGAGGAGGAGGAGGAGGAGGAGGAGGAGAAGGAAGAAGAAGAAGAAGAAGAAGAAGAAGAAGAAGAAGAAGAAGAAGAAGAAGAAGTTGTTTCATTGCAGTGGGTTGGAATTCTCAGTTGCTTATGTCTTGAGTCTCTAAGTTGTTTGTGGGCTGTTTGGAGAAAGGGAGATGACAAGACCCTACATCCTTTTGCCTTTCTAGCATCTAGGCTCTCACCTCACACAATCCTGGGTACCAAGTACAGTCTGAGGCCCTTGTATAACAGAAGATGGCCAATAATTATCTCAAGGGACAGCTTAGCCAGTCACATCTCATTCTATCCGTGAAAGAACCATAACGAGAAGAGGTTAAAAATAGCTGCCAAAAGTTCAGAAAAGCAATGCTGGGATTCAAACCCAGATCTCTATTCTTCACACACAGGGGGCCAAGATTGGTGGAAAGCAGGGCTCTGAAGCTCAAAACTCCAGGCCTCTCCTTTGAAGCTCTCTTAGATCATCGCTTCTGGCTCCCAGCAGCCAAATGCCCCAGAAGTCACGAGAATTTGCCATATGGGAGGTCGAGGGGGTAAGCTCAGTGGCAGAACGAGTTTATTTTATACAAGGCCCTGGGTTCAATCTTCAAGGCCCCGGCTCAAAAAAAAAAAAAAAGTATAGCAAGCATGATGGTGTGTGTCTGTAATCCTAACACTTGAGAGGTGATGACAGGAGGGGCAGAAGTTCAAAGTCAGTCTCTCCCACAGCAGGCTCAAGGCTGCCTGTGCTAGAGGAAACTATCTTAGAAGAATTCAAGGTGGGTTTGGCTGCACACACCTTCAATCCCAGCACTTTGGAGGCAGAGGCTAGTGGAGCTCTGTGAATTAGAGGCCAGCCTGATCTATATAGTGAGAGCCCACTAAAATAAATAAAATCATAAAAGTTTTTTAATAAAAAAAAGAATTAATCATACTGAAGATAAGTCTTCAGCTCTCCCCTTCTCAAGTGAGTCAATGCTGAGTAACTCAGCATCCGTTCTATGCATGCTCCTTTCTGGGGAGACAGAAATGCTTCTTTTCTGGGTCTTACAGAAAACAGAATTCTTGTCCACCCTGTTCATAGAAACTGGAGTTGAGAGAACTCTTTAGCCACTCCCTCAGTTTCTCCAGGTAGAGTGAGCCTGCAAACGGAACCCAGTAGCTGACTGGGGAACTTCCGACTGTGGGAACCAATGGTGAATTTGGCTTCTTGGTAGAAGGAAGTATGTCTCAGTGGAGAGCCACACACGTAATGTAGAGCCCAACAACTGGTGGTACATCTGGACTTTGGACAGGGGCTGGGAGAGGGATGGGGAGCAGTTAAGTGTCACTGCTAGGGGCTCGCCGGTTGCTACCCTCCTATCTGAAATCAAGAAAATGTTCTGGCCATGTCTTGGGGCAGGAGGTAAAGCCATCTTCCTCCATGATCGAAGGCTAGCAGCACCCACAATCTCAGTACCCCTCAGGTGCCCTGAGTCTGTGTCCTGTAGGGTTGCTATGACCTGGAAACAAACAGGGTACCCAGCTTTGATGTGCCTTCATCTTTAAACTATCACCTAGAATTTTTCGTAGGTTAAAAAAAATCTTTAGCCGGGCGATGGTGGCGCACGCCTTTAATCCCAGTACTCGGGAGGCAGAGGCAGGCGGATCTCTGTGAGTTCGAGACCAGCCTGGTCTACAGAGCTAGTTCCAGGACAGGCTCCAAAGCCACAGAGAAACCCTGTCTCGAAAAACAAAAAACAAAACAAAACAAAACAACAAAAAAAAAAAAAAACTTTAGATCCACGCTCAGGATTCCAGAGGGCAGAGAGTTCTAGCCCATGGTTCTGGTCCCTAGTGGGACCATATTTGAGTGGTCCCCTGTGCCTCCAAAGAAGACCTGTATTCTGAGTGACTGCAGTAGGAACAGTATGGTTCTGCTCAATACGGTCACAGGCAGAAACTAATACAGAATGAGGAAGGACTGAGCTGGTTAACCCAAGCAATGGTCACTTATCAGATATTTATCAAAGACAATCCAGAGCTTTTATCAACTGCCCAAAGCGTCTTGCACACAAAGGCATACATATTCCATTCCGCAAGACTTC